AGCCTAAAAGGGTGGTGGGGAGGTAGGTCTGGCCTACCCAGGACCAAAGGACAGTGGACGATAGAAATGGTCTGGTCAGCCACAGCAAAAATTGGGCAGAGGGGCCCAGGGAAGGATGTGTGCTGGGTGTAGAGCACCATGCCTGAGGCCAGCTCATAGAAGGGCAGCTCCTGGGCCTGCAAGTACAGCTGGGCTGGGCAACGCAGCACCCCAAGGGCTTGTGCTGCCCATCATGTGAGAAATAGAACCCCTGGTCATAACGGGAGAAGACCCAGAAGTCATTGTGGCCCAGACAAGAGTCACTGCCAGAATCTTTGTGGGGCAGCTGGCCTAAGGCCGCATCCACCTTATAGGCACAACTGTTCTGCACGTTCAACATCCAGGTGTGCAGCCCAGCCTGGAAAGAGGTGGTGGACAGGGCACTGGGCCAGTGGCCAAAGCACTCTGAGCCATCTGCACAGGCCTTAGACTTGGCATTGCAGGTCAGGGTCCTTCGATCATCTGACAATTGCAGGAAGGGGCTGACAATCCTCTTGTCGATAGACACATCCTCGGTGCCTGAGAGGGTCCCAAAAACTGCTGTTGCCCAGAGTTGGGTCAGCAGTAGGCTCTGAGCACACTTCTCATTGAAGTTTAACTTTTTCAACTCCTGGGGATCCAAAATGCCCTCTGTTTTTTCGGTCCTTTCAAAAATCTTCTGCGCCTTTGAATCAACTGGAAGACAGCCATACCGGTGAACATGTCCACCAGGCTGGTGTGGATGGTGTTCAGCTTCTATAGCGCCTCAGCCCTGTACTGACACAGTGTACTTACTCACTGTGTCAGGATACTCTGTTGGTCCTGCTCCTCTTCACCATGCCCCGATTCCAGCAACCGCTGTTCCTCAGTCTCATGCAGACTCCTCACTAGACCCAGCTACTGGATGACTAGTTCCCACGCTGCACTGGCCGCGTGTTCACTGCTCTCTGGTTCTTCTCTGGCAGGACCTCGGCCACACACTTGTTAATGCTGGCACTCTGTAACTGCAGTTCCTCACACTGGTCCACAGTCTTGTTCCACAGCTCTTCTGCATGCTCTTTGGCCTAGTGGTTGCAGTGTCCCTGGCAGCAGCCGCCCAGCTCCGCACAGGCAGTGCACACCAGCCATCGCTCCCAGCAGCAGAA